CTGCTCTTCTTTTATTTTCTTCCCTTTTGAATTCATCATCTTGTCGTTCAATTTTATGAGCTTCTGCTCTTCTTTTATTATCTTCTGTTTTAAATTCATTATTTTGTCGTGCAATTTTTTGAGATTTTGCTCGTCTTCTATTGTCCAACAAGCGAAATTCATCGTTAGCTCTTCTTTCGCTCATTGTCTTTGCCCTCTCGACATTTCTTTGAGATATAGATCTTCTTTTTAGCTTCGGCATTTTTTCGAAAAACAAGCTTCTCATGTAGATTAGGCGCGTGTATACGCTAAATACAGCTTCTACTTAGTGAGACACGTGTATATCTCTAAACTTGGTGAGATAAACAAAGCAAAAGTTTCTTTCGAGTCAAATCTCCGTTAAAACTAGTGAAGATATACTCGATTCGAAGTAAGAAACTTTAGAAAATCGAAAGATTAGTAATCTTTTTTTAACAAAAAATTTAATTAATATTTTTATTATTTATTTGAACAAAAAAATTTAATTAATGTTCTTATTATTTATTTTAACAAAAAACTTTAATTAATGTTCTTTTTATTTATTTGAACAAAAACTTGATTAATGTTCTTATTATTTATTTTAACAAAAAATGTAATTAATGTTCTTTTTATTTATTTATTTTTGAACAAAAAATTTGATTAATGTTTTATTATTTATTTGAAAATAGTGAAATCTGAAAAAAGCGAAACAAACAAATGATTTTAATTTTCCAATACAAACAATTTTATTTAGAAATGGAAATGATTAATAAGACACAAAAATTAAATCAAAATAAATACGAACACAAGTGCTATGACCAATTTCAAAACTTTAGTGAGTGATTGATTCTGCTTTTGAGCAAACAAATCAAAATATTTATTTATTAAAAACTCATAGAGAAATGTTACCATTAATATTAGTTTCATTAGGTTTATGTAATCAATCCGATACATATTTATCATTAAATAAAATAAATCATGAAAGATCTTGGAAAAAAAGTGAAATTATTCCATTTTTGAAAAGAATTGCATTTGAAAGACTTCAATTTTCATCATTATTTTCAAATGAAACATTTATTAGAATATTAATTAATTCAAAACCTAAACCAATTTCAGGATGTTCTCAAGGACCTGGACAAACATGTCCGTTATCTCAATTTATTAATTATGTTCATAAAAGATATATTAAATATCAAAATTTTTCTCAAATTTGTCCTAATAATAATCAAAGTAATCATTTTACCTTTTTAAATTAAAACAGATTTAAAAAAGAACGATAAGAACCTATTGAATGATTAGATTTTCGATAAAATAAGGATAAAAGAAACATTTATTATCATTGATGCAAAACGAATATCGCTATTTTTATTTTTTTTTTATTTATTAAATAAACATAGAATTATATCATTTTATTCAAAGTACGATAAAGTTTTAATTAATAATAATAATATTAATCAAATATCTTTCAGTAAAAGTGAAATTTGAATTTAATAAAACGAATCTTTTAGATTTAAACCAAATGTCATTCGTACCTAAGTCACATAATAATAAAAAACAGAGTGAATATCTTTTGTCCTTTTTTGAGTACACATAACACTCGGATTTAAATCCGAGGTTTTCGCATTTATTTAATAATAATATTAACTAGTGACACATTTTATTTTAGTGTACATGAAAAATAACTGCCTATCTGATGAAAATCTCATACTTTATTGGTTCACATAAATAAATGTAAGTAGAATTAAATGATTATATTCTTTTTTTTACGTTATTAGACTAGTGATAAAATAAAAACTGTCTACCAAGAGTAGCTATAAAGAACAAAAAATGGCAGGACGCGAAAATCAGGCATTTTAAACACCAGAAGATAATTTCAAGAAAGCTTCGATTAAGAATTTTTTTTTTAGTATGCTTTATTTATTGTTACGTCCTAGGACGCTTACAATGAAAGAAAGAAAAATAAAAAATGAAACATGAAAATAAACAAGTGACCAAAGAACAAGAAAGAAAAAGGGAAGCGACAAGGAAAGGGAAGGGTACAAAAAAGAAGCAAGAAACAAGAAATCCAATAAGTAGAATATAAGTGCAAGAATTAGCTTATCAGAAGGATAATGGGGAAACTCGTACTATCTACTTTCTTTGTCTGAGATTACTCTCTATACAATTTATCCACCGGATTAAATATGACTCATGATTTGCAATCAGCTTTTTTACTCTTTTCAATTGAAAAAAGTGACCAATACTTAACTTTCTAGTCTTTATTTCTTGTTGTGAGCAATTCTTTACTAATGCATCCCAATAGAAAATATCATTAATGAACAAAGATTCTCCTAGATCTGTTTTATATGCATTTATGAGTCTTTTTTGCAAGTAAGCTGTGACATACAACTCCAGTGGGCGCTCTTTAACGAAAGGAAACATATCAGTAGCTGAAACCCATAGGCATCTATGTATGATTTCTATTCTTACTCTAAATTTCCTTTCAAGTACTTCTTGATGTGTTCTTGACAGCATAGGAAAAAAAGGGGAACAGCCATGGAAAAAATGGGAAACTATAAGCAAAAAAGCAAATTCTTAATACTTCCGTAGAGATGTATTTATTCCTCTTCAACCATATGAGTTTGATAAGGGAATTCTGAATCTTTTCAAGACATTGATTTACTGTTGGGGCTAACGATAATTTATCAGTCCAATAAAAACTCAAATATTTGAATGAACCCACATTCTCTAGTCATTTTTCCCCTATATAAACTTCAACTTTGGGACGTACTATTTGAATGTAGAAGAGTTGTACCACCGTTTTGGATACGTTTATTGGTTGTTTCCACTTGATTGAATACTCCAGTAGTTTTTGGCATACTTGCGTTCCTTTTCTGTTTATGAACTCTATCATTTTTTTAATATCTTTATCAATTGGTGGAACTATTAAAACGCTCAAATCATCCGCAAAGATGTGCGTGGAAAATGCGTCAGTACATGACACTATATCAGTGTGGTAAATAATGAATATGTACGGACTTAATGCACTTCCTTGTGGTAGCCCTACGTTTATTTGGAGTAGATCAGATTGGTACGTTCCAAAACTGATGTTAGCTTCTCTATTAACTAGCCAGTTTATTATTAACTTAAGCAATTCTGATGGCATACGCATTCGATGTAGTTTAATTATTAGCTCCATGTGTCATACCATGTCGTAGACATTCTTATAGTCTACATAGATTCCAAGTGTTGGTATATTTGCTACCATATTATTCTTTACCTCCTCGTAAATTGATAGTACTCGAGTTTGAAACAAGCATCCTCTTCTGAATCCTGATTGTTCTGGTGGGATAATATGATTTTCTTCTGCCCATTATTTAATCCTAACTAGAAGTACCTTTTCGTATATTTTGGAATGCGTTGAGATTGAGAGTAATGAGATCGGACGGGTTTGATCGCACTTCTGTATGCCTGATTTCGTTTTATTTAAAATCACTAATTTAGCTGATTTCCATTCATTTGGAAAAAGACTTTCTCTCATCCATTCATTGAAACATTTACTTAAGCATTCTAAGTAGGAGGGCGGGAGGCGCTTGATCATGAAATTAGAGATAGAATCGAAACCCGAAGACTTTTTCGATTTCAAAGTTCGAATCACCTTTTTCAATTCATATATACTAGTAGGACTTACCGAGTTTTTTACATAGATTAAGTTGCTTAAATATCTCTTTGTATTCTTTTTCAATTTGAATATCAAATTCATTTGAGCTATCATCTAGTGATGAAACAAAAAGATTCGAATAGTACTTAGAAAGTTCATTTGTTATCTCTCGATGTGATATGATCACTTGTTTTCCCACTGATAGTTTAGTAAAAGGTAATGTTTGAGGTCTGTATATTTTTGATAAGTGTTTCCAGAACATTGTATTAGATCTACCATGATTACTTTGAATATTTGATAAAAAGTTTCTCCATCTGTTGGCTCTATACTTATTAATTTCACTTTTCACTTCCTTTGTTGCTGCTCTTAACTGAATTCTATCCTTTTCTTTTCTGTTTCTATAATAGCGATTTCTAATTTTTCTTATATGTTTCAATTTTTCAAGTATAGATATGGGAAGAGTAGGCTTCCATTTTTCTTTTTCAGACGTCCTGATCAAGCGATTTTTCAATGCTGCTAAAAATCTTGGGTGTGGGTCAATCTATATACAAAAGACACCCACACACCCACCCAACGGTTACCGCGAACACCTGATGTATACGATGTCTAACGGTGTTTTTCGAACAAAGTATACAGTCGCCGTTATTCGCCGTGATTGGTCAGGGTACGGCCGATCATGATTGACCTGGAAAGTCTGTTGATTAGTGCGAAATTTCTATTTCCTATGTGAGAATAGACAAGTTTCTTTAAAGGCGATCTCCAAAAGGAATTCGAGTATTTCTTGAACAATCGATATTGCATTTTTCTATCAGCAAACCTGCACTGTTAATGAGTTGATAATGTGTGACATTTTATTCAACCATGGTTGTTTGCTGCTTGTATTCATTATTGTATTAGCCATATTAAAAATGAAAAATATTAACAAGAATGAACAAGATAGAGAGAGACATGAGTCAAATTTGCATACTTGTTTTGCTTATATTGACAATGTATAATATGCCTAATAGAAAATTTTATATAATTCTTTTTGTGGCAGATTTCTTATTTTTGTGTATTTTTCAGTAGATGACTGTACTATTAATCAAAGTGAAGATGATTATCTGAAAATTAGCCCATCTATGAATTGTATATGTTTATGTTGAGAATCGCATCTCACCAAACCATCGCTCTGACTGATATTTTAATCTTTACAATGTTACTTATTTTTCATGTGTCCATTCATGTTTTTATACAAAGGAAGAAGAAACTAGATTGATAGATTGATCAAATATTCTATACATTACAATGTGTTTTAGTTTGCGATCACTTACACTCTGATGATTCTACCTGGAAATTATGCACTGCTCATTGTCAACTGTTATTCAAAACTGTTTCACACAGCACTGTACTACACATACAGTGAAGACAAGATTCGTCTCGAAAACAGGAAATTGGTGGTAGACAGAGTGAAGTACGAGAAAACTTAATAGTGAAAGGAGCTAATGTGAACATACGAGAAGCAGAAAAGACAGAAGAAAGCAAGCAGGGTAACAATAAGCAAGAGAGGAATAGATGTAGAAAGAGAATTGTGGTGATGAGAGTGAAGGAAATGGATGCAGAGGTGACAAAGGAAGGCATAAAAAGAGAAAAGAAGATGGAGGAAAATGAAGGAGAAGAAGGAAGAGCCAAGTGACGAGAATAAGATGCATAGGAAGATGAAGGAGTGGGAAAGGAGGACAATGAGAGAGAAAGAGGAGCAAGTAATGAGAAAAGGAAGCAGAGAAACAAGATAAGACGAGGAGAAGATAGATAACTAGATAGAGGTACACATAGTGCAAGAGGGATTGGTGGAAACACAGGGAGAGATCATGGTTCCAGAAAGATAGAGCTAGAATGGGAGGAGGCACATTCTGAGGCAGGAAAACAGATAGACGAGAGGCAGATATGGGAAAAGAGAAAAGATGGAGAGACAAGGGAACGTAGAGATAAAGAGTGGGAAGGAGTTGAGAGGAAGAGTGAGACGGATCGACTGTTAGAGTCCTGTACATACACGGAGGTAGGAGATAGTATTGAAAGAGAGAGCGGAATACACGATCAGTTGATGAATTGTATTGAAAATAGAGAACAGCAGCACATAGAGATTAGAATACAAGGAGATACTCATGAATCGACAGCATGTGTAGTTATTCACATACAGAGCAAAAGTGGAACAATCTGTCAAGAAACAAACTTGAGATAACTCTTGATTCCGTACATGAGAATCTAACATTTCTCTTCAGGATTGCCTGCTCTTATTTCGCTTCAAAGAAAATATCGTTCAAAACTACTCGGCCACTCTATCTCAATTGTACTATTTACCATCGATCACAAAATGGGTACGAATTAATTATAAGTAACAAATGATTTAGCCAATCCTTGAGTGTAATATACATTAAAGAGGAAGAAATAAGAAACACGAAAACCAATATCACATCAATCAATAGCCATTTGTTAACGTCTTCTACTACCTATCATTTAGTCAACAATCACTCTAGAAAACAATTTCATGAAAAAGAATTATTTGCACTGATTTTAGCCACATAAGCCACATTATATTCTACCGTATGGGACATTTTGAGCGTAAGTACGCTTCATCGA